CTAAAAGAAAGTTAAGAGGATGATATAAAAAAAGAGACGGATGTGAGGAAAGGGATAAAAAAATTAGGGAGGAATGTGTGAACAAAGAATAAAACTATGTGAACATTGTTACAACACATATACTATCCTCAACCACCCTAAGGCTCCAATACATCCACACTCTTCAAAGTAAATATTTAACTACCCATCATAACACTTTAAAGCAAGAGTATAAGAGAAAATATAAAAATTTAAATACAAGCTAAAAGTGCTTTTGACTGGTGCATTTTGAAAGAAAACAAAAATAATGAATAGTCTTAATGTATACACAAAGACGCAATTGAAGAAATTAGTGAAGATAGAGATTTGACTAAAATAGTGTCTCCACCATTTGAGAGTAATAATATTTCATCAGTAAAATTAGAGGCGACACTAGATGATGATGGAGAAGAAGAATGTATGAAACATATCTAAACTTCATCGTCCAAGGAAATTCAAACTACAATTAAATAGTTAATTAGAGATAATCTAACATAATTTTGTTTTCAAATTAAGCAATGTCAAAACTCAAGAAACTCTCAATACACTTAAAATATGTATATTTGGGGGAGGAATTCACTAAACAGGCCATTATAAGAAAAAAATTTACCACAAGGAAAAATAATGTAAATTAGTTCTCCAACCTCAACTGCGACTGCATCCAACCATGAAGGAGGTAATAAAGAAATAAGTCTTTAAAGTTACTTGAAGCAGATATGATATATCTGATGTTTGATAATACATGGGTAATTTTAGTTCATGTAGTCCCAAAGAAGGGTTATATGACATTAATCTTAGACTCCCTATTAAAGAATTGTTTACGGAATAAGGTTTTCAAACACCCCCAATTTAAAATTGAATTATAGGAAAAATAGTGAACCATGTTCATTTTCAAATACTCATCTCCAAATATCCATATATTCAATCTGATATCTTACTACGTGTTTTATTATTGATTCCACTACTTCACCGAAAAACTTAATGAATGTGAGGATCTTAACCACTCATGATAATTCAGTTTGCAAAATATTATTTGGGAACACATATTAGAAATAGGGCTTATTCATATAACCATGTGTTTACCGTGAAAATTGGTAAACAACATCTGGTCTAACAAACTTAAAAGAATTTGTTCTAACTTGCAGGATCAACCATACTAAATCCTAGAACATGTGCTAATTGTTATTTTCAAAGTAAATTTTAAAAAAAGTGGATGCTTCGACAGAAAGGTAAATGGCATTAAATTAAAAGAATGAAAGTAGTAAAGAAAAGTTGTAAGAGAATTTAAAGGCGAGGCTGGAATATAACTTGCAAGCAAAGTAAAATGGACTTTTAATGTAAAAAAATGAAAGTAAAAGTCTTGAAGATAAATTAACTTGAAGATAAATTGTATTTAAGGTAAAATGATGGTGTTTACATCACGTACATTCTCTTTACAACTCGTTTCTCCACACGCAGATACTTTGAGTACTTTTTAGACTGACTAGTACAAAGTGATTTTTTACACCCCTGAATCCTATTGCTAAGACTCATATTTATAGTGCTAGAAGTAACTGCTAGTAACTTCCTAAATTAATCTACTCATGACAAGTGTCACGCTGCATGCTTCCACCCTTCAGATGTGCGCCACTTGTCCTGCTCCAAGGCAACCGTTTCCTCTCTTATTTGAATTTTGAAACTCCCCAACGTCGAATACCTTTCCTCCATCGAAGACAGTCTTCCAATACTTAGAAATATTTTCTAAGTCCCAAGACACTCTTACAAAGATCTCGTCGAAGAAACGTTTGATCTTTCTTCAAGATCTAATATCTTAACTAATACTTCTATTTTTAACATGGTGTCAAATTTTGAGCTAACACCATGTTGATACCATGCTTGCTCAAAACCTTTTCGATGAAATTTTAATTGTCTTTTTTAATATTGTACCTTATTTAATATATTAGATAACCAATGTTTTGATTTTTATTTTCTATTCCCATTTTTTATTGTTGATTGGGTGACTGGTGTTTGATATGTAGCAATGAATTTCTATATGATTTGGTTGAACACTATAGCTATTTAGTGGATTATCATATTCATCCTTTTATGGTTACTATCATCTATTTTTTCTGTCAATGATACTGCAAAGTGGTGTTGCCAATCAAATATGGTATGTAATGTGTTACTCGAGTATATATGATTTAATTGTGTTCCCTATCGACACACATGTGTGACATGAATATTTGTGATTATAAGTGCAATGTGAGTGATTTTGGTGGAGCAATGAAATTTATGGATAAACCATAAAAAGGCCATTAAATATTTTGCATGTGAACACGAGGGATTCCTACAACACCATTACATAAATCAATTTATCTCTTCTACGACTCTTACGAGTTACTTAATTGATTTTTAATAACTTTTTAAAATCTAAAAATAAAAATATGTAAAAGATTTAATTGTTTTAAATCTACTATAATTTCAGCACTAAACCATACTTAACCCGCATATTTGTCAATGCGTCTGTACACTTATTTTTTTTAACAATAAATATGTTTAATGTGAGTTTCTCATTCAAGCGTTATTAATGTCTTATACTTTGTTAAAGATCCTAACAATGCATCTATTGTATTAGTTGGTGTTGTAAGGATGTTCATGGATACAGATGGATCTAAGAATTCGCTGATCCAAACTAAACCAATTCATAAATTATTCGAACTTTTTCATTTATGATTATATCCAACTCACCAATTGATGTGATTTTAATAATTTTTTTTATTATTTTAAATAAAATATAAAATTAATATCTCACTAATAACTATAATTTTTTAAAAAATATATATATTCTCCATCAATAATATTACTAAACTAATGAGTTTATGTAATTTTAAAATTAAATATTATTTTTTATTTTCTTTTGTATTATTTTCAACTTATGTATTTTATTCAAATAACGTGTCTTATTGAAATTTATACTATTATCAAGCGTTATGTTACATTGATAAATTTTATTAAATATTATATGATGTGTTTCATCGAATTTGAGTATTATAAATGAATATGATTGTATTAAGTTGTGTTACATTTTTTTAAATCAACAAAAAGAATCATAAAAAAAATATTTTATTTGAAACACAACCCGCGAACTCAACCTATAAATAAATGAATTCGGGTTGACTTTTACAAAGAAATTGCAAGTTGTACAAAAAATCTAACCCATTAAAATTTGAACGAGTTGGATAACGAGTTCGCCCAAACCTAGTCCGACTTAACCCCCTAACTATTAATGCAATAACCCCACCATCGAGTCAACATATAGTTCTACTTTGTAAAGGCATTCGTAAAAGTTAAACACAAATCTTTAAAAACTCTCTACAACTCCACAACATTAATCATAGAATATGTCAAATTTTTTCGAAGAATTACCTAAGCATTCTCCACTTTTAATATATCAATTACGTTTTTCTTTTTTCACCTCTCTTTTAATCGCAAAGAGAACTTTTACAATATAACATTAAAAAGAGATGGCTTCTTTGATAGTATAAATTTTGTTTGGATAAGTATAAAATTTTAATTTATTTTAAAATAAAACAATATTAAAATATAATATAATATTAAAATATTATTATTTTATTAAAAGAAAATATTAATATTCAACTAAATTCATAGTATCAGAATATACCTCTTAAAAAATATCTTTATATCAGCACCAATAAAAGACAGAAACAACGAAAATAAGTAAAAGATCCAACACAATCACAATTGAACCTTTTCATATCAAAAAATCAAATAATATAAAAAATTTCCCTTCTAATAAAATTGTATTTGGCTGGTAATGGAATAAAATTGAAGTCATACTATTATTACTTTGACAAATATGTCACACTTTCTTTCTCTAGGTACATATACATAGTAATTATAAAAAAAAACAAAAAAAACAAAACTAATAAAACGACATAAATTCCATGCGACCAAACAAAACAACATTGTAAGCAAAAACAATGTCCTAGGTTTGTCCTTGTTAGTACAGATGTATCACAGAAAAGAAACCACCTGTCTTATATAGTCAACAGACAAAAAAAAAATACAATTAAATAGTAATAAATTAAAAAATATTATAATCAGAATTTTGATTTTGATTTTGACTAAACTATTATAATCAGAATCGAAACAAAGGTAATGTCTGGTTTGTTTGTGTTTCATCTATTTTGAAACGGTTTCTCTCTCTCTCTCTTTCTCTGTTTTGCGCAACATTTTAGGGGAAAACACCCATTTCTTTCTGTGATCATAATCGTTGTTTTTTTTCATATTTAGGTTTTTATACAAGCTGGTTTTGTTTTGTTTGTATGTGATTTGTTCCTTCAAAATCGCTTCTTTATCAATTCCAGTTTCATATATTACAACGTGAACAAAATGTGATGTTAGCATCTCAAAAGAAATTTGATTATAATAATGATGATGATTATGATGATCACAACTTCTTCAATCTCCATTTTGTCTCTTGTATCAAAAACCACAACTTTTGATTCTTAAAAAAAAAAAAAAACTAAAAAGGTATCCAAATCCCACTCTTCACGCACCGACCCTTTCTTTTCTCCATAGCCTCAAAAAAAGTCAAATTTTCCGTCTATTATGTAGCAAGCATAGCGTAATTCTTAATCTGATTTGTTTTTTTTTTTTATATATATATTTTTTATTCCTTTGATTCTTATGCTGACAGTTTCATAGTTGGTAGCATCTTTTAAGGTTTGTGCTTTGCATATACTTTTTTTTTCTCTCATTATAAAAATTTGATTTTTCTGCCTCATTCATACTGGTCATGGAATAGTTTGAAATGGGGAAAAACCTTTACTTTTTATTGTTCATGTGATGTGAAGTCAATTTTCTAGGAAGGATATATCAAAGAACATGCTTTTGGGTGTTTTTTTATATAATGATTTTGCTGCTGATTTTTTATTTTTTGTGTGTGAAAGGGTTTGATTTTGAAGCTGTGATTGGTGAAGATGGATTTTGAAGGGACACCGAAGAAGGAGATGGAAGGAGAAGCAAGTGTGACGAGTTCGAAGATGAAGGGTGCTGGAAATCTAAGTAGTAAAGATATGATTTTCAGAGCTGATAGGATTGATCTCAAGAATATAGATGCTCAATTGGAAAAGCACTTGAGCAGGGTTTGGTCGAGAAATACTAATGAACCGAAAAGGCCTAAGGAAGAATGGGAGATTGAATTAGCAAAACTGAATTTGCGATATGTTGTTGCTCATGGTGCTTATGGTACTGTCTATAGAGGCACATATGATACTCAAGATGTTGCAGGTATATATTTCATTGCATTGTGTTTATGATTTTTTTTTAACTTTTTGTTTTGAAATTGAAGATATGATTCAATGTTTTCGAATATTAAAATGTTATGTGTTTTTAGTATAAGATTTGGTTGGTTTATTGAGCTTGTGAGTCTGGCTGAAAATTGGATTCCCTGCCGTTGATAGGAGATGTTGTCATAAACCTCGGCTATTGGATGAAAATCGTACGGCTTGTGTTTCAAGTTATGTTTTAAAAGCATGTTTATTGGAGATGAAATATGAGGCACGTGTACGATTTTCATGCAATGGTTGTTATTGACTGACTACATGAATGTAAGATTCGATTCTCCGACTGCAGGGAATCCATGTCCGAGTTAGTTTTCACACCAATATATTTGGCCTGTTATGATGTTATTATTTAATGATTGTTTGAGTTTGTGATGTTGTTAGCTGGAGAACATAATCATTTAGTGTTTGAAATTAATAATGCTCTATGGTGCCGCTCTTTTATGATGGGTTTTAATTGTTTCGACAAATTTTGTCGTGATCAAATGAGGCATCTGCATTTACACAAAACCACATTTTCTTCAATCATAATTGATTTTGTAGGTTGCAAAATTTTTTCTGAACATGAATTATTAGAGCACGTGTGAAGGAAAGATTTTTTTCATGGTGCCGCGATGTTGTTGAAATCATCATAGAATGGTTCCAAGCACGGGTAGTATCGACTTGTATGGAAGCAAAAATTTTTAGATTTTGCGTCGATGTTATTCTATAAACCATTTAAACAAATTCAGTTCTTCAAACTCAATTTTAAAATATCATTACACAAACCAATTCCATTTTTAAACCTCGATTTGGTTAGAATCAATTCTTTTTAACATTGATTCATTTCAAATCAATTCTATCAATATCAAAAACCAATAAACCCTTTGAGCGAAAAAGAAAATTTGTGAATAGAAGAAAAAATGGTGATCTGTGAGGAACATTGCAGTATGCAAACTCTGTTATCCTTTCGAGTTAGTAAGAGCAGTGCAGAATGAAGACGTCTTTTCTCTGATATTTGTATCGAGATGTATTTTTCTGGTTAACGTATATATTGTGATCTTGATCTTTACAGTGAAAGTGTTGGATTGGGGTGATGATGGTGTTGCCACCGCTGCTGAAACTGCCGCTTTACGCGCATCTTTTAGGCAGGAGGTTGCTGTCTGGCACAAACTTGACCATCCAAATGTCACAAAGGTAATGGCTTCGTCTTTTGAATCTCATTTATTGAAATTAATGACTGCTACATGATACAATAGCTCGCATCGATGATTCATGAATAACTTTTCGGATTAATGATTGTTTTGTATTTAATTCTGTAACACAGTTTGTTGGAGCTTCAATGGGAACTTCCAATCTTAAGATTCCTGCCAAAAACTCTTCGACCGACAATCAAGAGACCCTTCCTTCTAGGGCATGTTGTGTTATCGTCGAGTTTCTCCCTGGTGGAACTCTGAAACAGTACTTAATCAAAAATAGGCGGAAGAAACTTGCTTATAAGATTGTGGTTCAGCTTGCTCTGGACCTCTCCAGAGGGTAGGTCCTATTTTCCGATCCCTACAATGAGAAACTGCAAATTCTATGCTAGTACATATATAATGCTAATTTATTTTCCCTAATATGCAGTCTTAACTATCTGCATTCGAAGAAGATTGTTCATCGTGATGTTAAGACGGAGAATATGTTGCTAGATGGTAACCGGAATCTAAAGATAGCTGATTTTGGAGTTGCTCGCGTTGAAGCTATGAATCCGAGTGACATGACTGGTGAAACTGGAACCCTCGGATATATGGCTCCCGAGGTAGTGATGCTTCATTGAAAAATATTACATATGTTACTTGTTTTAACTTGTTTCCATGTGATTGACTTTGCTTGAATAAACAACTTAATCAAACGCCTATAGCATAATCATCATAAACACTTATTATATAAGTGCTTATAGATAAAAAATCTCACAAGTGGTTATATCAGTAGATGAGTTCAAATAAATTCTAACGGATCATAAGTATTGCATTGTTTTTTGCTATAAGATCTTGAAGTTGTTAGGTTGAAATATTAATCTATGGTTTACACAATGTGTAGGTTTTGGATGGTAAACCTTACAACAGGACATGTGATGTCTATAGCTTTGGCATTTGCTTGTGGGAAATTTATTGCTGTGATATGCCTTATGCAGATCTAAGCTTTGCGGACGTGTCTTCTGCTGTCGTCCGTCAGGTACGATTATGATTTCCGAATCATTTCTTGAACATTCGAGTTCATATTGATTATGTTATTGTGCAGAATTTACGACCAGACATTCCGAGGTGTTGTCCAAGTGCATTGGTGAACATCATGCGTAAGTGCTGGGATGGGAATCCGAGTAGACGTCCGGAAATGGCCAATGTGGTTAGAATGCTGGAAGCACTGGATACAAGCAAAGGTGGCGGAATGATACCGGAAGATCAGAGATCAGGCTGCTTTTGTTTTGCACCGGCTCGAGGCCCTTGATCAGTTATCTTGTTATTGTTCAATAGATGATGTGAAGTACAGAAAACTGTCAAAATCGATATTTTATGGTTTTGCCAGTTATTTTACAGTTTTATCAGTTAACGTTCTTTTCGAACTGGGAAAGAATGGTTGTAAACAGAAAGGAAGAAATTTGTTTTTTATTGTTATGTGACATTATTGTTTTTTTAATGCATGAAAAAAGGTTATAGACTTATTATAATAGTTTTGAATAAAAATCTTGACTAGTTATGTGATTTGTGATTGAGACAAGTCTAATATGTTGGTCA